AAAAAAAAAAAAAAAAGAAGATAGCATAAAGGGAAGAATGAACGGGGGGAAATCGGATGGGAAGACGAACCATGAGAGACGATGGACTCTGAGAAACAAACTGAGGGTTCTTGAGGGGAGGAGGGTGGGGGGATGGGTTAGCCTGGTGATGGTTATTAAAGAAGGCACGTACTACATGGAGCACTGTGTTCTATACACACACAATGAATCATGGAACACTATGTCAAGAACTTATGATGTAATGTATGTTGATTAACATACCATAATGAAATATATATATATATATATAAATGGGAGAAAAAAAAAACCCTCAAGCTTTTAATCCCTTGCTTATGCAAACAGCACCCCTGGGTAACCAATTAAAGGATGAGGGAAAATATTTCTTTATAAAGTATTCCAGCTAATAAGAAAGAAATGAGACAATTAGAATAGCATCATTTTGCAATCCCAGTGGATTAATGGCCTCAGGCTCTGAGCATTGGTAGCTGCTAACATCACATAAGGAAAGACAAGCAGGCACCAGGTACTTTCAGATGCTAGGACACAACCACCAATGGTCTTGCCAAAGGGGCTGAACTACTTGGAACTCTGAATCAAGGCAAATTTGCAGAAAGACAAGGTTGAAGATTAGGCTGATACAGCAGGGGTATGCAAATCCAAGTTGCAGGGAAGCCTAAAGGTTCAAAGGCCCAGGTTCCTCAGTAGGTACATTGTTGAAACAAATGGAAAAAGAAAATAAAGGAAGAAACTAAAGTTACAATAAGAAACTAAAAGATAAAAACTATTAATTAAAAAGAGACTTAAGAAGTGGAAGCACACTTGGGTAATAAAAACTGTCCAGAAATACAAGTCACCCTTATCTCCAAAGGAGGACAGCAATCAGTTTAGTGGGGACACACGAAGGGCTTCTAGAAACTGGCACAGGACCTCTTCTAGGTCTGAGTTTTGGTAACTAAGGCATCCACCTAATAATCATTAAGCTAAACATTCACTTTGTGTGGTTTTCTCTATCATATTTTGAAAAAAAAAAGGTTTTTATTAGAAAAGTGGGAGAAATAATTCTAAAGCAATTCTGTAGCTTCTTTTCTATAAAATGGTTATGGTTACTTCTACTGATGCAATTACAGAAACGAAGCCATTCTATGGGCAGAGATTCCCCCCACCTCCTCCCCCTGGGCCAGCACTGAATACCTGGTATCTTGACTGTGCCACTGGAGGAAGTGTCGTCCGTGTAGGGATGGCTACTCTCTACCACCACCGGCTGAGAGGACAAGCGGCCGCTCTGCGAGTCCGTGGCTACATCCTCCAGTTCGGTGACACAGAGCTCCAGCAACATATCTGCCACCTGGTGGAGGAAGCAGGGGCACAGATCAAGTCATCAAGATACTACCCCTGCCAGCCCTGCTCCAGGTCTTTCCGCAGGGACAGGGTGGCAGAGCGGAGCACTTGGGAATTTGAGAAATCTAGTTTAAATCAGGGCTTGGTTCCCTCACCTATAACATCAAAATAGCACAGAGCTCACAGAGGTGCCTATATATGTATGTATGAAGCTGGGAGGTGCCTGACATATATAAGACACTCAATACATCCCAAATGATCAAACTGTGATCACAACAGTTTCTTTTTACATCAAGACAAGATTACTTCCTAGGTAGGAAAAATCTTCCTCAGGAACAAAATATCAAGGGAAGGAGCAGAAAGGTGATAAAAATGACCAAAATCCAAGAAGACACCAGGGATCAAGCAGGAGTGGGCAGGAATAAAGAAGAATGATCAAGCCATCCAGGCCAAACAGCAGCAGAGTATCTGGAATGAGAGGCTATAAACACAAACGTAAGTGGGAATTTCTCTTGACCCAGGACATTAAGAGGCAGCCCCCAGACCATATTCCTTCAACAATCCATAATGTCATTATTTCATTTTAAAATTTTAATGACTCACACCACTGAAGTGGTCAACTCTGGTGATTATAAACTTCTTGACTTCTATTTTTAGAAACAAATAAGAAAGGGCGCCTGGGTGGCTCAGTCGGTTAAGCGTCTGCCTTCAGCTCAGGTCATGATCTCAGAGTCCTGGGATCAAGCCACGCTTCAGGCTCCCTGCTTGTGCTCTCTCTCTCGCTCTCTCTTGCCATCTCTCTCTCTCAAAGAAATAAATAAAATCTTTAAAAATATATATATTATAGCAATAATGACCTGTAAATTTTCTACATTCAGAAAAAAAAACTATTCTCTATTCCATACTTTTCAGGAATGATTTTTTTCTCTATTTTTCCTCATATTTAGATAACAAACCGATTAACTTAGTAAACAGTTTTTTACTAATGACAAACTACTATCACTGCCATCTAGGTATTAGAACCATAAATTCACACATCTCTCTTTCAAGAGTTCCAGATAGTAGGTCAGGGTAGGACAAAGGACTAGCATCTTGCCACTGGTCAGGACAGTTTGAAGACAATCCTATCTCTGCTTCTGCATCTCCTTGAACCTGCTGTGGGTTTGTGTCACTGAGACACAGATGTTGGTGTCATCAAACACCTACTGCACAGCCCACCAGGGGTCTTCTGGGCTGCACAATCTTCCTCTGAAAAACCCATCATTCCCTCAGGAGGGTCCAATAAGCTTCTCAGGACACGATGACATAAGGGTCATAGATGTGGCTCTGCCCTCAGAGCACCCAGGGTCCAACACCATTTCTCCCACCCACCAGCAACCTGAGTGTCCATGAGCCAGAAACAACCCCTCAGAGTCTCAGTTTCCTCATCTGTAAACAGAGAATACCAACACTTACCCTCGTACCAAGAACACACCAGAACTGGACCCGGCAGGGGTATGTGCAACAAATGCTGGGCATTATTACTTTAAATCCATGTCCTCGTTCATATCCTTTCCTCTCACAAATGCAATAAACTTACAAAAAAAAATTAAGCTTTTGCTTGTGGCAATTCATCTTGATTCAATCTCTCAGAATTATGCCAAGTAACTTGCCTCAAAAAACTAGAAAGTAGGAAACCTACTTCCTGTTCTTCCTGAATACAATTAAGAAATAACAAGCCCCAAACCATTTACTATCTACCAAACCATTTACTATGTTTTCAAGACCACTCAACCATACTTAAGTACCTTCTCGTTTGGGTGGTAGTGATATGGGGCCCAGAGAAACACAGATTACATATCTGTACAGAGCACATGGCATCAGACTTCCTGATGTGGCCAGCTGTAAAAAAGGCAGAGCAAGGCCACTGATAAATAAGAGTCTTTAAGGAAGCCAAAAAACTTTAGGACTCATCAATCCAATTTCTAAGATATACTGATACACGATGCTGGCTTTATATCTTAAACAAGCCACATGTGGCTATGCAAATTTAAATTAATTAAAGTTAAATAAAATGAAAACTTCAGTTCCTCAGGTGCACTAGTCATTTTTGAAGTGGTCAACAGCTACACGTGACTAGAGGCTATCACACTGAATGGCTTCAGCTACAAAACACTGCCACCATAGCAAAAAATCCTATTGGATCCAGTGTTACCAAATATTAAAACCTATTTAAAGCTATAATAGTTAAAACACTGTAGTATGAGACCATAAACAGTTAGGTTAATGGAACAAGAGTCCATAAATGGACCCAAATATATACAGGAATTCAAAATATGATTAAAATAGTTTTCAAATCATTGAGAAAAGGATAGATTATTCAATAAACGGTGTTGGGCAACATGCTTGCCATCTAAGAAAAAATAAAGTTGGATCCCTACCTTATCCCTTACATTAAGATAAATCCCAGATGGGGTGCCTGGATGGCTCAGTCGGTTAAGTTTCCGACTCTTGGCTTCGGCTCAGGTCATGATCTCATGGGTTGTGAGATGGAGCCTCATGTTGTGCTTAGTGAGGAGTCTGCTTGAAGACTCTCTCCCTCTGGCCCTCTCCCCCACTCGCTCACACTCTCCCTCTCTCTCTCTCCAAAGAAATAAATAAATCTTAAAAAAAAAAAAAAAAGATAAATCCCAGATGGCTAAAAGATGTAAATATAATAACTGAAATCATAAAAATAATTAGAAGAAACTTGAGAAAATTTCTTCAAATATGACTGTCATGTAGGTAAGCATTTTTTCAGCATAATACAAAATCCAGAAGCCATCAATGAAAAAAACTGGCAGATCTGACTTCATAAAAATTAGAAATTTCTAAATGGCAAAAAGTACCAAAATGATGTCAAAAGGCACACTGAGAGGACAACTGCAGCACATATGACAGAGAAAGGACTTACTTACAAAGAGTCCTTCTAAACTGCTATCTACTAGAATAAAATCAAGCACAAGATAAGGTATGATGTCAACAGTAGCATATTCCCTGGAGGGGAGGCCCACAGCACCCATTGTGTGGCTCACCTGTGGGTAGGCGGTACCCATGCCAGAGAGCACAGCTGAAAGCACGTCCCTGCCCTTGTCCCCTGCCCGGCTACACACGGACAGCTTGAGCAAGTCCACCATGACTCGGGTGTCATCCGCAACCAGCAGACTGGTGAATTCATCCAAGGACTGAGGTTCTGGGCCTGATGCTTTATTTTGGCTTTCAACATCCTAAAAAGTCCAACAATTAAAATGAGGAATGATACATTAAGAAATAGTCACCAGTTTACCTTATAAACTCAAAGGATACACAACTACTACTGATGAATAAGGGGCTTTAGAAGGCCTTTAACACCATGAAATGCCAGATTAAGAAACGACAGACCCATAAAATTTCCATCACCATGTACACTATGCTTTCAAGACCAATTAACCATTTTTATTTATGAATCAAACCAAAACTGAAATGATAGGAATTTAGGGGTATAATAATCTGGATAATGCCTATGTCTCATAAATAAACTGGTAGGAAATGCCTCTTCTACCTAAAAGCAAAAATTTTGCATAATTCAGGATAATTTCTGCATTAAATCCTCACCCTAGGAGATTGCCAAGTATTAGAAGTTGAGTCTAGACACCTAATTTATAAATAGTAATTTTTTTTTACCAAAGACGGTTATGAGTAATTTCTATAGAACATATTTTTGTCAGCAGTAATAGCATAATAAACCAAGAGTTCCAAGTATAATTGAAAATAATGCATATTAAATAGATGATGGGGACTAAGGAGTGTACTTGTTATGATAAGCACCAGGTGTTGTATGGAAGTGCTAAATCACTATATTGTACACCTGAAACTAATATTACACTGTATGTTAACTGGAATTTAAATAAAAACTTAAAAAAAAAAAAAAGAATGCATATTTGTCCCCAAGGGGAATATGCTGGCAAGGGAGAGAGTGTTAGAAGGGTACAATGGTCTGGCATAGGGAGTACCTAAGTGGGCTGGGGAGGGTGTCCACATGTGGGGGTGGCCAGTGTGACAGAGCCATGCAAAGTAGAAGGTGTCCCTGCTTTGGCTGGACAGCATGGGAGGTGAGGGGGAGGTCACAAATCAAGCAGGTAAAAGGTCATCCGTGCAGAAGTTAGACTGGTTTTGAGCATCAGAAGCTGTGCAGAGAAAGGAGGGTACCCATGTGGGAAAGGAGTGGCAACCAGATGGGAAGCTGGCTACCTAAGGGGAACTAAATAAACTGCCAATAACGAGGGTCAGGTTTCTCACTTTCAGAGAAGAGTTATAAATACAGAGGGGGAGAAAAGAAAAATGAATCCTGTGCAATTAGAATTGATTGTATTGTTGTGAACCAGTGGTTTTCAAAATATGCACATTTATAATGAAATAAATACAAGTGTACTTCTCTATTATGTGTATATACACATACACATTTATTCCCTAGTTCTGTCCGCTAAGAATGTTTGGGAACAGCAACATCCCAATAGCAATGAGCACTTGAAGATCTTGCCTTCTAAATACAATTCTCCACTGAAAAGAACCAAGACCTCCTAGAGAAACATCTGATTTCTAGGCTGGAGGATAAAATATTTTGTTGAGCTTAGCTAGAACTGTGTGTCGTGTCAGAAAGCAAGGAAACACTCAAAGAATGATGAGAACATGTTAAAGGGACAGATAAAATTCTATAAAATATTTAAAGAATTAACACTAATCCTTCAAACTCTTCTAAAAAAACAGAAGATGAAGGAACACTGCCCATTTTATTCTATGAGGACAGTATTACTCTGATACCCAAACCAGGCAAAGACATCACAAGAAAACTACAGATCAGTATCCCTTATGAACACCGGTATAAAAACCTTCAACAAAACAACAAATCAACCCAGCAACGTATAAAAGGATTATACACTCCAAACACAGAAAGGGACAGAGCAAGCATAAATTCTGTGGTGTTGGACTGAAACTGAAAATAGTGGTTTGAACTATTCATGGTTTTTATTATAAAGATAAGATGCTGAAGAAGAAAAAAATACACATACGTGTGCATGTTTGCTGAGAAGGTGTAAACCAAGGACATCTGGGAGCAATTAACTTACCAAGTTTCCAGATCTTGTTTCTAAATTCTATGATCCACTAAAAGGAACCAGGGCTCCTTGGAGAAATGGATGATTCCAGAGCAGGGACAAGATAAGTGAAAGATAAGTCTGGAACACGTTGTTGTGCCAAAAAGTAAAGAAGTGCTCAAAGAATTATGGGGACATGTCAGAAGGACAAATGAACCAGCCAAAAAGGGATTCCAGTGCCCATGTCTGGGACATTTTAGGTGCCAAATGCTAACAGTAATGGATGTCATTATTTGAGTAAAGCAGGATCCCATGAATCTATACCAACATAGACGGATAGACGAAGATGAGAAGGGAAAGTTCTCACAGAAGAACAGCAACAATTATATTCAAAAACGAATGATGAAATTTGAAAAATCATCATGTGACAACCACCACAGTAATAATGAATTCAGCTAGAATCATCAATAGATAGTAAAAACTGCTGGGTAAAAATATGAGGAGGAACAAGGTTCTTACAGGTATTTACAGTCTCGAAGTATCTCCCCATGAATACTTACTATCTCACTTTTATTAACTTCTGGTGGAGAAACCTGACAGATACTCTTAACCAAGCAATAAGAATTAATATCACCAGTAATGCAGCAAATCAACAATGCAGATACCCCAATGGGATACACTGAAAAGAACTCTACATCCTTCCTGTGGTATCCATCAAAAGGAAGAATTAAAGAATGTTCCATATTAAATACTAAAGAGACAACACACAACCCTGAGTTGGGTTCTAGACCTATAAAGGATGCTATTAGGACAACGAGCAAAATCTGATTAGATCTGTGGATTAGAAAGTAATCCTGGATCACTGTTAATGCCCTGACACACTGAAGCCCTGAGGATGAATGGGGATTGTGCCCTGCAGCTCCCCACCAATGGTTCAGAAAGGCTAACAACTGGAGAACCTAGGTGAATAGTATATGAAAGTACACAATGTGCTATATTTCTATGTACTACTTCTCCAACTTTTGTATGCATTTAAGATTATTTCAAAATAAAATGTTAAAGAAGAAAGCTCCTTGACCTCTTTGGTTTTTGTCATAGTTTCTGCAATGATGCTGGCAGCTCCTGGGTCATCCGTCACTGGGATAAATGGTCGAGAAGAAGCTGAGGAAGCAGATGGGGTCACTGCAGAGGGGGTCACAGCATCGTCAGAAGAGATCATCTAGTTTAAAAGTATACAGGAAGAGGAAAAACTCAGCAATGTGGCACACTTCCCACACAACTCCAAAAAGCCTTATCTCAAACCCCTTAGGCCATCTGGAATGTCCCAGACTTTATAGAGGTTAACAAGGTGCTTACACTACCAGCTCCAGTGGGGTACAGGGCAACCCTGCAAATCACACATGAAAACCTATTAATATTCACAAAGGATCACATGAAGAAGATTAAAATGAGTTCACATCTCTTCAAGTTGGGTTTTTCCCCAAAATAAGTTACAAAAACTCTTGGCTTTCAGAGCTTTAATGTTTTAGAATTGCAGATAAAGGACTGTGGACTTGCATTTCACAACTTTTTAAAAGAGTAAATCTATTTCTATTTAAGCACTAAAAAGATCCTTTTTAAATTGAATATTTTTAATTCAAGCCAAGAATCACAGCAGTAGGAACAAAAGCAATCTGAATTAAGTGAAAGAAGGCCCTATACTTTCCTAAACACAAAGTAGCTACTTTTTCCTTTTTGATCTAATGTTGCTTTATTGCCGTACTATTTATTTTTACCTCTCCTCTCTTTTCTTGCCATGGATTTGGACTCAGTCTGTCTTCAATATCAACAGCTAGCACACATTCTTCTCCGTTCACAGGACTGGCCAGAGCAGACACATCGGAAGGAGGTGCCGAGGAGGAGAATGAAGGACACTCCACCGGGGCAATCATGCCAGCTGGCATGAGCGCCCCAACCACCGCATCTCTGTCAGGAGAGAAAGCCAGGCCTGTGGTGAAATGCCCTTCACCATCACAGGATACAAGAGTCAGGAGGAGGGACAAACACTTACTGAATGACTCCCTCATTTTTATAGGATACACATAAAGCAGTTCTGGGAAAATACTGAACTGATATTCCTCAGCTAAAAGCTACAATGTGTACTTATGATCTTATGACCTCAATGATGACAGGTGAAAAAATACCAAATATAAGAATCAGACCAGAATAAACCCCCAGACTCCCCTGAAGAATCTTCTAGGATCATTGTTAGAGCCTGAGGATAATTTTTTGTTTACTGAAAGCTGTGGACCAAGGGTGCCTCACACAAGGCAGCAAAGACTAAATGTCCTCTCAGTGACAGAGTTGGCCTTTGGTATGAAACTAATGTTCCTGTGTAATTTTCATCAGGTCCATAACCATGATAGATGGGCAACTAACTCAGACTGAGAAAAGAGCAGCAAAATGTTGGAAAAGATAGCGTTATCAAAACTCTGTTTATCAGGCACCTGGGTGGCTCAGATGGTTAAGCATCTGCCTTTGGCTCAGGTCGTGATCCCAGAGTCCTGGGATCAAGTCCTGCATCGGGCTCCCTGCTCCTTGGGAACCTGCTTCTCCCTCTGCCTCTCTCTCTCTCTATCTCTCTGTCTCTGTCTCTCATGAATAAATAAATAAAATCTTTAAAAAAAAAAACTCTGGGGCGCCTGGGTGGCTCAGTTGGTTGAGCGATTGCCTTCGGCTCAGGTCATGATCCTGGAGTCCCGGGATCGAGTCCCACATCGGGCTCCCTGCTCGGCGGGGAGCCTGCTTCTCCCTCTGACCCTCCCCCCTCTCATGCTCTCTCTATCTCATTCTCTCTCTCAAATAAATAAATAAAATCTTTAAAAAAAAAAAAAACAAAAAACTCTGTTTATCAAGTGTTTGAGTGAAGGAGATGACAAGTAGTCTTAAACATCACTGCATATTTGTATCAGTTAATTCTTCATCTCATTCCTCAAATAGTAATGCTTAGAGCTTACTGGCCATAAAAAAAATTTTTTTTTTAATTTGGATTTCTTTTTTGAGAGAAAGAGAGAAAGAGAGAGAGCAGGGGTGGAGGAGGGGTAGTGGGAGAGGGAGAGAGAATCTTAAGCAAGCTCCATGCCCAGCACGGAGCCCGATGCAGAGCTCAATCTCATGACCCTGAGATTATGACCTGAGCCTAAATCAAGAGTCGGACACCTAATCTACTGAGCCACCCAGGCACCCCAATTTGGACTTTTGATTCTTATTTCAACCCCCATTAAAAAAAGCACAGGCGTGCCTGGGTGGCTTAGTCGGTTAAGTACCTGACTTGATTTCGGCTCAGGCCGTGATCTCAGGGTCATGAGATTGAGCTCTGCTCAATCAAGCCCCATGTTCTCAGGCTCCATGATCAGCAGGGAGTCTGCTGGAGATTCTCTCTCTCTTCCCCTCCCTCTGGCCCTCTCCCGCCTAGTGTGCGCACGTACTCTCTCGCTCTCTAAAATAAATAGATCTTTAAAAAAAAATCATCATTCACTATCTAAGGGTATATGACCTAAAACTCACAGTATTTAAAGACAATAACACAACATTCTCGAGACATTTGATTAACCAAAAATACAAAACCCAAAATTTAAATACCTGCAGGATTTCAAAAGCTAGCCAACAAGCCTACCTGGCATACATGATTTGCAGTGCTGTAAGTATATGAGATAAGGCCTGCTGTTTGGCCAGATTTCCATCCAATGACAGGAGAATCTTGGCAAGAGAAGGGCGATTTGGCTTAGAATTATTTGCACCACTGATTTTATTGCTGGCAGCAGAAGAATCAGCATCTGAAGGCACACCTGAAAAAGGAAAATAAAATTTAGGATCAATTTTAAAGATCAGAGTTTGCTCTATTCCTATTTGACCTCTTCAGTTTATTTCTAAAACACACTGCAATCGCATTTTACTATTTCACAGATTAACTATTAGGTTAATGGTCTTCCAGAGTAAAAACAAAAACAACAATAAGCAACCTATTTATTTATACTTCTATAAAGAAGTTATTTTCATCAAAGCTTTGCTGTTTGACTATAGAAAAAAAAAGTTATGAAAATATGGTAACTACCTGTATTTACTTACCATTGAAATGCAAGACAAAAAATAATACAAAACAATGGAGACAAGACAAAACAATGGTTCACCAATACACAGTCTTACTGGACACATGACCCAGCTCATCACTGCCCTAAGAGTTTGAAGGCTTCAGCCAAGGGAAGTGGTCTACATGAGTAACAGAGGCACAGCTCTGGGGCAGGAGGGAGGTCAATGTGGTCAGAGTTCACAAAACAGAAGCAGAGAAGAGACAGTTGCCCAGATAAGTGCCAGGGCATTGTGCAAGTACCCTCACTCACCCCAGTTGACAATGCAGCAAAAGGTGATGGGTGCCTACATGAGAAGGAACTTCCCAAAGCCAAAGAAAGAACTACATGAAAGTACTACAAGCCCAGCACATAGGCTGGAAGAATGCAGAGGAACCAGCATAGCACTTGCTCCCATCAGCCAGACATGAAGACCTCATTGTTCACTGGGCGCTAAGTACTCAGAAGACCTTGTCTGAGTGGTGGGGAGTAATTAGCCCCAGACTAACATCAGGTCTGAAGCCACTAAACAAATCCAAAACCAAGACCCAAAAGGAACAAAACGTTTCAGAGTAACTTAACTGTATCTAAGCTAAAGATTTACAGACATACAAAAATCTCCAGCAGGGGCGCCTGGGTGGCTCAGTCATTAAGCATCTGCCTTCGGCCCAGGTCATGATCCCAGGGTCCTGGAATCGAGCCCCGCATCGGGCTCCCTGCTCCGCGGGAAGCCTGCTTCTCCCTCTCCCACTCCCCCTGCTTGTGTTCCCTCTCTCACTGTGTCTCTCTCTGTCAAATAAATAAAATCCTTAAAAAAAAAAAAATCTCCAGCAGGCTATTTTATAAAAATTGACAAGCTGATTCTAATACTCAAAACAGCATTTGAAAAAGAACAAAGTTAAAGAATTACCACAGCCTGAATTTGGGTCTTTTATAAAGTTATAGTAATCAAAACAATGTGGTATTAGCATCAAAATACAAAAATAAGGCAACAAAACAAAACTGAGCATCCGGAAATAGATCCACAACATACACTGACAAGTGACTTTTGACAAAGGTGCAAAAAGCAATTCAACAGAGAAAGGATAGTTTTCTTCAATAAATACAACTGAAACAACTGGATATCCACACACACGCCCCCCAAAAGAATTTCAGTACACAATATATAAAATTTAAATCAAGATCAAGCATAGACTTAAATATCTAAAACTACAGGGGTGCCTGAGTGTCTCAGTCAGTTAAGTGTTTGCCTTTGGCTCAGGTCATGATCCCAATGTCCTGGGATCGAGCCTGCTTCTCCCTCTCCCTCTGGCCTGCCTGCCTACTTGTGATCTCTCTCTCTCTATCAAATAAGTAATAAAATCTTTAAAAAGAAAATCTAAAGCTACAGAACTTATATAAGAAAACACCGGAAACGAATCTTCGTGATCTTGAGTACACAAAGCCTTTTTAGATATAACCCCCAAAGTACGATCCATTAAAAAAATGGACTTTATCAAAATTAAAAATCTCTGCTCTTTAAAATTCACTTGTGAAGAGAATGAGAAGACAAGCAACACTGGGAGGAAATATGTACAAGTCACATATCTGACAAAAGACTTGTACCCAGAATATATAAAGAACACTCAAGGGGCGCCTAGGTGGCTCAGTCATTAAGCGTCTGCCTTCGGCTCAGGTCATGATCCCAGGGTCCTGGGATCGAGCCCCACATTGGGCTCCATGCTCTGCGGGAAGCCTGCTTCTCCCTCTGCCCCTCCCCCTGCTTGTGTTCCTGCTCTCGCTGTCTCTCTCTCTATCAAATAAATCTTAAAAAAATTAAAAAATAAAAAATGACACTCAAAACTCAATAAGAAAACAACCTAGTTTTAAATATAGGCAAAAGATAGGAATTGACACTATAACAAAAAACACATTTGGATGGTAAATACACATGATGCTCAACATCATTAGTCATCAGGGAAATGCAAAGTAAAACCACAATGAGATACCATTACAGATCTACACAAATCTAGGTTCAAATTATAAAGACTGACCAAACCAAGTGTAGACAAAAGTATGGAGTGAGCTGAAGCTCTGGAACAACAACTTTGCAAAAACAGTCAGTAGGATTCTTAAGAAGATAAACATACACCTACCAAATGATTCAACCATTCCTCTCCTAGGTATTTACCCTAGAGAAATGCAAGTGTAGGTCCATATAAAGACTTGAACATGAATGTTCATAGCAATTGTATTTGTAGAGCCAAAAACTGGAAACAACCTAAAAGTCCACCCACAGGTGACTAATAACAAATTGCAGTATATGTGTAAGTGAAATACTACTCAAGAAAGAAAAAGAATGAATTATTGGTACATGCAACATAGATGAATCTCAAAATAATGATGCTGAATGGAAAAAGTGAGATTTAAAAAGTACCTACTGTATGATTCCATTTATATAAAACTCAAAATGCAAACTGATATACAGTGTCAGAAAGCAAGTCAAGTGGTTGTAGGAGGAAGGAAGCCTGAGAAGGGGCACAAAGAATATGTATATTTTCACTTATCTTGACTGCAGTGATGCTTTCACAGGTGCACACATGTCAAAGCTCATGGAAATTACACTTTAAATATGTATGGTTTGTTGTATGTCAATTATATCTGAGTTAAGCTGTTAAAAATACCAAGCAGCCCAGCCCAGCACAGTGCTTATATATGTCAAGTAGTTATTATACAGCATTGCCAGAACTGATTTGATCATAATAGAATCAGCATCATACTTCCTTTTAAAATTTTCATTCCAGCATGCAAAAATCAAAGTACCATGATTATTTTGTGGCCTTGGTTCAGAATGCAGTTAACACAGTGCTAAAACCTTTAATCTGGTGGTCTTATTAAATATTCTATCTATGATGTTGCTCTACCATACAGAAGTATCTCATACTAAATACAAATCTGTGTTACCTAAATAGGAAGCACCTAAAGGGTCTCTTGCAGTCTGAAAGAGGACGGGCTCGTGGACAGAGGGTGTTGCCACATCAACAGTAGTCCATGCCACACTGTGTGAAGACCCACAAGCCACTCGCGTGATCTTCTGGCCTTCTAAGCCTTGTACAAGTGTAGGCTTTCTATTAACTGTGGTTGTGCCATTGCCCTGTTGGCCATGGTCATTATCCCCCCAAGCATAAACCTGTTATAGGGAACAAAAACAGAATTTTTCAACATTTGAGAACATTTTCTTTAAATTTACTTCAAACTTCTTTCCAATAACCATAAATAAGTATTTACTTAATATCAATCCAATGAATTCATCTGTTCTGTTTTGTTTTAGGAAGCAGGGAGATTCTCCTCTTCAACTAAGTTCAATACTTATTTTTTCCTTTATTTTGCAAAGAAAAATGATCAAAAACAATATGCTCACTTTTCATGTAATTCACTTCTTGGCTTTACAGAATTAGAAGGAATAATTCATTTTTAATTCATTTTGATTAAAAAACAGTGTGCTCTTGTTATGATGAGCACTGGGTGTCATATGTAAATGATGAATCACTAAATTCTACTCCTGAAACCAATATTACACTATATGTTAACTAACTAGAACTTAAATAAGAATTTGAAAAAAAAAGTGTGCTAATTTGTTGTCATAAATGAATTTTTAAAATAGAACATGAGCCTGTCATGATATGGATTCTCAAAACAGAGGAATGACTTCATTTCTATAATGACGTACATATATCTCCCCATCGGTTATCAATTTCTAGTAGGAGCACCTTCAATGACAATAATCTTTTCACCATTCCAGGTGGACTTTAGAGCAGGAAAGCCTACCACCTTACAACATCTGTCAGTCAGCAACTCTTTAATTTACCGGGTGTGCCTGCCTACGCTGACAACTGGGCAGATACACACAAGAACAAAATGGGCACAGCCCATCCTCCTGGTTCTTTAAGTACTAAAACTCATTTCATTTCATCATGAATTATACTTTTGAGGCAAGGACTTGTCACCTCAGCTTACCTGCCCTGCATCTGTGACTGCCAGGCAATGCAGGGCCCCGACGGCCACATGCACAATCTTCTTACCTCTCAGCCCTTCCACCACTTGTGGCTTCCGCACATGCACATCAGAGCCGTGGCCCAACCTGAAGTAATCCCCCTTCCCCCTGCAAGGAGATCAACAGTGTGCATTTTCATATATGGTTATCGTCTGGCAATGTTCCATCAGGAAAACACTCATTGTTTACAGCACTAGAGCCAGCTCACTAACATCACACACAGTGCCCAGGGTCTCTGAAATTATGTTATAAAACAGTATATCATTAATTCAAATTAATTCATTAATTCTATAGCAAGATCCTTAATGTGTGTTGTATACACTTAAGTTACTGATATAGGTTAATTCTTCCTCAAGCTGTCTCTGAATCACAATACTCAAGCTAAGGCCCATCACACTGTCACAAGGTCAGCTGGATGCCCCACTCCTTTTAAATTTAATAAAATAAGCTTTCACAAGAGAGACATGAACTTTTTCAGGATCAAAAAAATCAGAAGTCTGCTTTCTGCCAGTTGATCACTAGGCTTCTGGCATGATAAGAAAGAAGAAACCGGGGCACCTGGGTGGCTCAGTCGTTAAGCATCTGCCTTTGGCTCAGGTCATGATCCCAGGGTCCTGGGATCGAGCCCCGCATAGGGCTCCCTGCTCCGTGGGAAGCCTGCTTCTCCCTCTCCCACTCCCCCTGCCTGTGTTCCCTCTCTCACTGTGTCTCTCTCTGTCAAATAAATAAATAAAATCTTAAAAAAAAAAAAAAAAAGAAGAAGAAACCTTCTACGTAAACCTCACCTAAACAGGGAAGACAAGCTGGGCTAAAATTTCTCTAGTCTTCTTTTCCAAATGATCCACTTACAAGAAAAATTTCTTATTATAATATTGTCACTAATCCCAACTCGAAATAAATAAAAGAAAAAAGATGTCTGGATATAAGAAAATGAAGGTTAACCATTCCTCCAGGGTGGGCATGGATTATAGGGCAGAGGCCCACCATGGTCTCACATGGACAGACACACTGATGGGTGACAGAGTTTACATACCATGTCCACACCACTCCTGACTTGGTGAGAGCCAAGGAGAACTGAGCTCCGCATTCAATCTGGCACACTCCCTGTCCATTCAGTCTCTCAATGTTCTGGGGAATGTTACAGCCTTCACTTCCTCCCCGGCCCAGTTTTCCAAAGTCACCATCACCCCAGGAAAATACCAAACCTAGGTTTAAAAAATGCATTCTTCAGGCCAGTGCTTCATGATGTTCCTACCCACCCAGAAACACAGAGTCAGGCAGGAGCTCACCTTCATCAGTCAGAGCCAGGGTCTGTGCATCTCTACTTCCACATGCAACCTGGATTACTCTGTGACCAAGAAGGACTTTCACCTACTCAATTACAAATTTAAAAACAGAATCAAGCACAGGCACTGAGAAAACAAGGGAAATTTTTTCCATAGACTGAAAGCCAATAAAGCACACGTCTTTATGAACTTTCCTAGACTCGAAGCTTATCTTCTCTTGAAATCAGCAGATGGTAAGCTTTCTGTAAGCAACAAAAATGTGTATAATCACCATTTTGGGCTTCAGTTGTGTTGTATTATCCCCATGTCCCAACCGGCCGTACTCTCCAAGGCCCCAGGTGTATAGCTCCCCACTGGACGTGAGGGCTGCACTGTGTGAGCTCCCACAGGCAATATCCCGGATACGCTTGGTTTTCAGGGCCTCTATAAGCCGTGGCTTGTCACAGTTCCTAAAACAAGATTAAATAATATTCCCTATAACCAATCCAGTCTTTTTTAAAGAAGAAAAAAAGGACATCTACACTGGTCCACATCTGTAGATCAACTTAACTATCAAACATTAAAACAGATCATGAGGCCGAATCACATTCATAGATATTTTTAACAAATATATTTTTAGGTTCCATTTTCAAGAATGACCTATCTTATTTAATTTTCTACAAAATAACTACCAAAGGATATTCACTATTATCATCAGTAACGTTTCTTATTAGCAAGTAATGAAGAAAATATTCTTACATTCTGCTGAAGTGTCCAAGTTTGCCATCATCACCTTCACCCCAGGAAAACACTTTCCCATCAACAGTTAAAGCCGTAGCATGTCGGCCACCTGTAACATTCACACAGACATGGGCTGCCAAATTTGGTTTACAAAAAGTTCACAGCATTATTACTTTACTCTGCCTGGCATGCAGCATTTGTTCAATGAATACGCATTCAATAAATGAGTAGATAGGATCAGCATTTCAGGGTGAAAATATATAAAGTCAGTGAACTTTTATTAAATTACAAAGTTTAAATCCTAGAATGAATTTTACTTGCAAAGAAGAAGCAAAATAATGCCATGTTTAATAATGAGGTTCCTGTTATGTTAAATATATAAAAGATCAAAATTCAGGTGAAAAAAAAGTAAAAATAAGTACATTTATGATTAGGGAAATTATCAAATGCACTGGCAATTAAGCTTTAGAGAAATGTACACCAACTGTGGAGTTATTTAAGCAAAAGCACCAGCATTCACAATTAATGCATTATACCTATTCTTTCATGGTTTTGCTCTTCCCCAGTGGGGACCATTCTCCCATCCCATCTACTCTGCCCCAAGACTGAAGAGCACTATCTTTACTGGCTTTTTCTCTCTGTCACCTGTGTCCCTGCCAACTCCTGGGCTCCCAGTCCCCCAAACCATTCATTCTGCCCTATTCTTTACCAAGAGAACCCACACTAATGAGAGTAACAATGTGCTCAGCTAAAAACTATACTTCCCAGAGTCCCTTACCCAGAGAGGATGGTGACACAGATCCAACAGAAGTGAGAGAGGCTTCCTGAAAAGCGCTTTATTTAGAGGGGCTAAGTGGGCTGGAGGACACATCTGTCTGTGCTCACCTAGACAGAGCTGCATGGTCATCTGTCAACGAAGGTGGAAAGAAGAGCAAGCCTGCGCTTGTGCTCCTCATGGGCACAGAGCTACCATACTAGCCCTGGATCCCATCCCCAGACTTTTACAGAGAAGAAAAGTAAAATTCTATCTTGCTCAAGCCACTACTGTTTGGACTTGCTTTTATATGGGGTTAAACCTAAACCTATTCAGTGCAGGCATGAACTAAGTTTTGTACCTAATTTATTAGTTCCATTCCTCAGAGGCCTAGCATAGTGCTTTGAAATAATTCTCAGTAAAGGTTTCCTAAATTGAGAGAATGTGATTTGTTTTCAAAGGATCTTTCTTATCACTGGGGTTCACAGACACTTTGGAAATCTGATGAAAGCTATAGCCTCTTTCATCAGAAAAATAACACATATTTAAGCACAGAACATGATGATTTCAAAGATGCCATGAACCAAAGACCATAGCTCCGAGACTGAAAACCCACACCTTGGAGAAGGGTAGTCCCTACACACCTGGAATGCCAACAACTGCTGATCTCTAAAAAGCCTCGTGTAGCAAAATAATTAAATTCTAGACCACCTGGAGATTTACATTATCCAACTTTTATTCTTAATAATTAAGTAAACTTGAAAAAGAATACACCCTAGGGAAAATTATTTAAAGGCCATAATTATTTGCAGAGCACAAGCAACAGGCTTATCTGCGTATGAGTGCCAACTCTGGCCTGGTACCTGAATGAACGGCCACCTTCTTGACCACATAACTGCTAAGAGCTGTAATCTGCCGAGGGATGGGCACAGTCCCGCTAGAGATGCCTAGCCCCAGTCGGCCATTCGTGGCTTCTCCACAGGCATATACCTTCCCTTCCACAGTCACTGCAAAGAACAAGAGCAAGGACAAGACTCACTTTTCACAACATAACAACTGTGTTTTTGGTGGTAAGCATAATTTATAAAAAATTTTTGGTATAAGAATAATCATACCTGCAAACAAACTTTTAGAACCACCAGCCACCTGTACCACATTCAAAGCAGACAGTGTCTCAGAGAATGAAGGAACCTTTATCTAGAACAGGATTTTTTTGTTAAGCAAAAGAAGGAAAAAGATCATTTTATTTATGCTTTCAAAATTACAAGTATCCTTATTAGATGATATAAGAAATAACTGTTTACCAAAGAAGTTCTTTTCTCTTAGAGAGATACACTAAAGTATTCTAAGGATGAAAGAATATATTGAGATATACCTTAAATGGGGGGTGGGGGGTGTAAGATAAATAAATAAAATAGAGACAAAAAATGTGACCTTCTACTGTTAACTGCTGAAGCTGGTACAGGAACATGAGGGCTCAGGTCCCTATTCTTTCTACCTGCTGTTTGAACAGCTCCATAATAAAAGGTGAAAAATAAAATATACATAATGTAAAGATATAACCAAGTATCTGGTAAACTACATCTTATTTCAGGTCTTGTCCTACTCATTCTTATTGATTCTGACATCTCTAAGAAATTATACACTTCAATTTCCCATTGTAGATGGGTGTGACCTAATTTAAAATTCTTAAAGCCCTTGTCTAAGAAACCCTTTATGATTCCTAGAAATTATCAGATAGTCACTACTACAGTGCAAGAAATCTACCCTTCATGTACAAACTCCAACAAAGGGCCATGTGCCTCAGGATCACCTAGACAGCCCTGCACTATCACAACTGAGACTCCCAGATCTTACTGCCCCCTACCCACCTCCAAATGGAGTCTACAGGCCTTAAAACCCAAATGCATTCAAGGCTGTTCAAATAAAGATGAAAATTTGTTGTACTTGAAAGGAGAGACTTAAAATGAGTTCTAACTTTCCTTCTCAGCTTCTCAACAATGCAGGTAATAAGGGATTTCATGATGGGTGAAGTTTCATAGAATACTAAAAGGAAGCAGAGACACTCACTGAAGAGAAACTGTTTCCAGGCACTAAAACTTGGAGGTATTTGTTTTGTGGCTCCTCAGTTAGACACTAAGTAACATAAATAGATACTGAATTCAACTCTAGTTCAAATGCATCATTTGTTGTATCTACTCTTTAAATGATATCTTGCTCATCTTCACACCACTACAGCATTTTTTACACATTATTTTGTTCATGGTAAGCAAAAATGCTTATTGTATTGATGGCAAAATAAATATAATTACGGTCTATAATTTTCATCTATATGCTTGTTGAATCTTTTCAAAAGTGTATTTTCTAGTTTATAGAACAGCAATAATACAACTACAACTAAAATGCACTATTTTCCAAGGACAGAGGCTTTAACAGAAACTAAATTTGATAATAATGACAAGTTCATATCAAGAATTTCTTCAGAAAAGTCAATTTAAAAAACAACTTATAGAAGGTAAATAATCATAAAAACCTTAGAAGAGGTCTAATTATTACTGAGCCTCTCTAGGACAAAGGCACCAGCAAAGCTCCTCCTCAATCATGTGATGACAGGTAACAAAGGAACTTCAGGAAGAGGGGGAATACCTTAGAGCCCTTCAGGCCGCCCAGCTGGTCCTTGTCATTCAGTCCCCACACAAACACCTTGGTTCTTATTGTAGCTGCCGATTCCAGCCCTGCAGTCTTCTTTCTAATAAGGCTAACCAAACAAAAAAGACAGAAATAGAGGTCATTCAACATAAAAATATTTTTTTTAACAAAAAGGAAAGCAACCTCAAGCAAGTAAAGTTTGCTGATTACTATCAGAAACTCTTAAAGTTTTAATACAATGAAACCTCAAGTAAATACACAAGTTAGTGTACCAGAGGGTCAAAATTTCTAGATACCAGCATGCTACCTTTTAATACTATTATTTAATTCTAGCCTTGTTTTTGATGGAGACCTTTCTATGACACACTGTGCAGCTCTTTTCTTCTTATACACCAACTTGAACACAACAGCTGCTTTACTGATTCACAGATATTCCCACCCAATGTGTCAACACATAGGTACTACAGATGTTAAATGCAGAAAACACTGATTAAATGGTCCTAGGAGTCACCACTGGGCCTGGCATTTTGGCAAAGTCCTTAAACCTAAACATCTGGTAATTTTTTTGCCTCAAAGAACTAATAAAATAGATAAAACCATACAACTTTTGAGGTACTCTAACACAGTTACAAGTACCAAAGCAAAACGCAATTTTCTTCCTTCACACCTTCTGCCCACCATATAGGCCAGCTGGACTACAGGTCCCCTACCTCCTTTCTCTCCTGAGAGGCATGCCCTGTACCCCAAGGCTTCTGAAGCATAACTCTGGCAGCTGGCTCCCACCACCTTGTTCATTCTATCTCCTGACCTGCCCTCAATGGGCTGGAAGTTTAATCAACAGAGCGCTCTAATTCTTGAACTTGAGACCACCAAGTACACAGGACAGTGCTAGATTTTCTTGGTTGTTAGTTGATACCAGGTACTAAGGAACCTGTGTTTGAGGTTTTTGGCTTTTTATTTGCTTTTGTTCTATTTTTATTAACAAGGATGGACAACCAACGGCTCCAGAGACTAGGTTCTAGATAGGTAAGATTTTTGAACATATATATACTAATGAATATTTATATTAAGAGATCAAAATTTTATGGTCTGGGGATTAAAATGTAGGAAAATCCTTTCATCTGATACCAGGCACAAAAGAGCAAGTATATGTACACTGTAATTACAGATCTTCCTCTACCTACAACAGTATTTTACCTCAATAAACTCATCATAAATTGAAAATATTGTAAGTTGAAAAGTATTTTAAAAATGCACCTAACCTACTCAACATCATAGCTTAGCCTTGCCTACCTTGAACATGCTGAGAACAGTTACATTAGTCTACAGTTGGACAAAATCATCTAACACAAAGCCTATTTTATAATGAAGTGTTGAACATCTCATGTAATTTCTTGAATACTATACTGAAAGTGAAAGTATGGTACGGGTACAGAATGGCTATAATAAGTATATTGGTTATTTACCCCTGTGATTACATGGCTGAGAGCTATATAGCTCGCTGCTGCTGCCCAGTGTTAAAGAGAGGATTGTACCACATATTACTAACTCAGGAAAAGATCAAAATTCTAAGTTCGGTTTCTATGGAATGTGTGTCACTTTTGCACTATCGTAAAGTCAAAAACTTGCAAGTCAAATAAATCGCAGACTATCTATACTTGATATACCCTGTAACACATTTTTAGTCAAAAATATGTATTGGACACCAAGAGTGATATTCAAGATATGTAATGACTGGTACCACGTAATTATCAACCAGTCAGAATGGAGGCCAGCAGGTCATCAGTGTGGGCATACCCCAGTTGTGTGTGTGCTCTGTGGGAGACTGTTGGGATCACTTATTCACCCTAAATTTATTAGCTAATTAAGATCTGACAGGAAAAGAAAAACATTACATTCAAATACCTAGAAATCTTTTGTTAATGTATTCAATTATGTAAAAATTTAATCTATGAGTAAAAGCTCAAACTTTCTTCATTATCTCATATATACATGTATTTATGTATTTGTCCAATTCATTTTCGTAGTTACTGAATAAGTATATACAAACCTATAATCCTTTCTCTTGAAAATCTCAATGATTCATTTAAGTGAACTGGTATTTTCCTTCCTTACTATCAGTTTGAATCGTAACATATAGTACAACATATATTCTAGATGAGGTAATGTTATATATATTATTTTCTTTTGTTTCAATTCAAAGTTTCCAAAATAAAACAGGACAGAATCCAAACCCAAGATCACAGAACCCTAGAATAACCTGATTTATTATCACAGTTGCCACCCATTCATGATTAAGAGAATGTGCTTTAATAGCAGCGAGAGGCAGTCTTTCTAAAAGACTACTTACATCACACTCTAGAAAGCACAAAGGGGCAGTGGTCAGAAGAACTCAGCTAGCATGGTACCTGCCTCCTTCGTGTATCTGCAAGGACCAGACTACACCAGTAGGACAATAGTAACACACATAAACTGATTTTGCATATCCTTTGACTTAGCCATTTACTTTTAGCAATTTATCTAGGAAAATACTTAACTTCTCTGAGGAAAGTGATTATCTACATTGTTTTCTCCTGGGCCATGAACAAGGCTCAGAACAATCCCCTGCACGTAACAGTCCTCCATAAACATCTTAGAATAAAAGAAGCAAATGTGCAGAAACCTGGCAGGTATCTTTCTTCATCCTTGGTATACGCTGTTGCCCTGCCAAAAACACCTTTTCTGCCCACCTGGCTTTGAAAACTCTGACTTTTCCTGAAAGTATGCCTTTAGAGGGAGTTTTCCTTGTCCTCCTGACAAATAAATGCTCTTTTGCAGATTATCAAAAGACGGCGCACTTCTCCTTCATGCACTTCCCACAGTCATAAAGCCACTCTGAAGTGTATGAGTTTGTCTTATTTTATTGTGCATATTCACCACAGCATTCAAAGGACATAGAACAGGGTTTAGCCCACAACAGGTGTTCAATAGATGGATGGTGAAGGAATAAATATGGTAATAGTCATCACTATAGTACTCTTGCAAAATATCAAATTGAGTAAGTAAACTAGAACATAGTCATAAGATGAAATACTGCCCTCAAGAAAATTACATAACAAAAGACTAATGATACGGGTATTTTGGGGATGAATATTGCTCACAATTGCACAATAATGTGAATGTACTTAATGCCACAGAACTAGACATTTAAAAATAGTTAAGAGGATACATTTTATGTTATGTATATTTTATCATAATAAATTTTAATTTAAAAGTTGACAATAAAATATTTAGCACAGCAAAGAAGACTATAAAATATATACCATATCATGCCATTTCATAGAAAAACACAATTAGGGACAGATAAAAAGAAAACTACAGGGATATATACCAAAATATTAGCTGTGATATTTCAGGTAGAAAAATTAAACATTTTTCTTTTTAATGGTATTTATCTAAATATAATGTTTCTACGTTAAACATTCTCTTAAATTAAATTTTTGAAAAAAATTAAAATTTACTACATTCCTGGGTGCATAAAACTACTCTCATTATGAAATATACTCTAATTATTTACTTTTATTTTTATTTTTTTTATTATTATGTTATGTTAATCACCATATATTACACCATTAGTCTTCGATGCAGTGCTCCACGATTCACTGCCTGCACACAACACCCAGTGCTCCATGCAGAATGTGCCCTCTCCAATACCCATCACCAGGCTAACCCATCCTCCCACCCCCCTCCCCTCTAGAACCCTCAGAAGAAGATAGCAGGAGGGGAATGAAGGGGGGGAAATCGGAGGGGGAGATGAACCATGAGAGACGATGGACTCTGAAAAATATTTACTTTTAAAAGTGAGAATTTTGGAATGAGCACCACCAATAACAAATGGCTCTCACCTCCCACTGTTGCCTTTTTCGTCTTCTTCCTCTTCATTATCTGAGGCTAAGAAAGGAACTGCAGCCAAATCTTCCTCCTCTGCACGGATGCGTCCCAGCAGGATAAGACCATGGATTTTACAATCAATTCCTGAGCTCCTGCACTGCTTTATAGCAATTTCAATATACCTGTGATACTAGACACAAAAACAGTAAACTACAGACTTTTTAGAATCAAATATATGAGATACTTAAACTGGAGAGCAGCATATTTGAGACATGGAATGTGTGGAAAGTTAGAGCTCTTTTACTTAAATTCTGGAAATATCAAGCAAGTTAGGCAAAATTAACAGTCACTATTGAGTACAGATTAAAAGAAGTCATTGATCACCAAGTATATCTATCCAAGGCATGGGACTCACATTGATTTTCTCACTAAAATGAAACAGTATGATAGCTTTACTGAATGATGCAAACTTTTCTGTCTTAAAGCTTTCTTGAGGGGCACCTGGGTGGCTCAGTCCATTAAGCATTGCACTCTTGATTTCAGCTCAGGTCATGATCTCAGGATCCTGAGACTGAGCCCCGCATCGGGCTCCGCACTGGGCATGGAGCCTGCTTGGGATTCTCTCTCTCCCTTTCCCTCTGCCCTTGCCTGGCTCCCCACTTGCATGTGCACACACATGGGCTCTCTCTCTCTCTCTCGGGAAAAAAAAAAAAAAAGCTTTCTTGAATCAAAATGTATTAGGAAAGAGATTAAATGTCAGGTGGTTCAGAACCTTCATAATTTTTAAAACTAATAAAAACATTTGAATATATGTAAATTAGAGAAAATCATACAAATAGCCCTGCAACACTATCACCTAATTCTAAGTTATCAACATATGAGCAATTTTGTTCATATATGGATTATATTAAGAAAATCACAGGCAGCATGTTGTTTCAAAACTTCAGTATGTATCACTGAAGTACAGGCATTTAAAAAAAAAATCCACATTACTATTATCATAGCTAAAACAGTAATTCCTTATATCATCTACTATGCTACCAGTGATTAACTTTTATGATCATCTCATAAACATTTTTCTATTGTTGGCTTGTTCAAATCAGAATGCAACCTCTCCCTGTTAGGCCTTTGACACTCATTTGTTAAAGTTGGCTCTTTGTCCTGCAGAATGCCCCACATCCTGTATTTGGCATTTACAGTATTCCTCTATTCCTGCATTTCCTGTGAACAAAGAGTAATGCAGCACGAAGCACACATACTTCCAGCGACCTCTTATTGCCTCAACTGGACCTGATCAAACCTCAAGACCTACTACCTATGATCTCACAGGAAGCACAGGTGGAAGAAAACCATTGGGATAAAAAAGACAAACTAAAAAATGAGTAATTCTACAGGAAAAGAAGACCCAGTTTCCTTCTTTAGCAAGGAAAAACCAAGAGAATTAAGACTTACATGAAGTACAAAGTGCAGGCACATAAAACAACTACAAAAAGATATTTATGTTATAACTGGGAAAATGTAAACACTGGCTGGATATTATATGATATTAAAGCATAACTGTTAGGTGTGATAATGGCATTGTGGTTACATTTTTTAAGTCCTTGTTACAGATTAATACTGAAGTACACAATATGGATAAGGTCGAATCTCAGACTTGCTTTTAAACATTCTAGGAATTAAAAAAATGGAGAACATATGGAAGGAGACAATGAAACACAATTGACAAAAATGCTGATAATTGTTGAAGATGGGTCAAAGGTTTGTGGGGGAGTCAGTATACTTTCTATTTTTGGTTATGTTAGAAAATTACCACAATGAGCCATTTTTATAGGAAAGACAATGCTAGAATGTCCACTGGCTTCCCAAGAATGATTAATATTCTAGTTCTTAAATTGGTTGGAGCGATGGAGAGTGGGTCATGAGTTTTCCAATTACTCACAATGCTTCATATTTCTCACATGCATCATGTATACTACTCTATACTTATCAAATATTATGTAATAAACTGTTCTGAATTGAAAATTTATTGGACTACAATTAATACACCTTTTATGAATGATAATCTCAGCCAGTTACTGATTTAATTAACTCTAGTTATTGATTTAAAGTATAAAAATATTCAGGAGTATAATTAAGACATTAGACAAGCTGCTTTCAGTTGCCTAGCAATGAGTTACCAATAAAATGCACTAAAATTCAATATTATCTTTTTTCAGAAAAACTCAATATTATCTTTCATTTTAATAATTTACCAGTTTATTCATTTATTAACACCACTGGTATTAATTGGTATATCACAAAATAGTTCAATGACATTTAAGAATGAATGGTGTCCCACAATTCTATTTATTGAAGATTGGAAATAAAGGCCAGATCATCAATTCTTGGACCTGGGAAAAGAGGCTGGTAAATTTCCATAGACTGGACACAAGTTACAAACCTTTCATCCATGAACAAATTAACCTAATGGCTATGTATCAGCTTCTTTTAAGTAACATATGGCACCACCTTGAACTTGTCTGCCCTTATGTGGGCAGACTAATGATGATGATGATAATAATAATGAATGGTGAACTACATTTAATAATTTAAAAATAAACTCACTTATAAAAAACTTTAGATGAATAAAAGTCAATCATTTAATATCTTTATCCACTATCATTGCACCAATTAAGTAAGTCCTCATGAGACAATAGTATAGGTGGTATTATTTCAAGTATGCTGAATTTATTAAAATAGTGTTGACAGCTGTGTAGAAAGATTATGGGAAGATCTGAGAAACAGTCTCACTGCTCCGTAATATAGAGGTACTACATAAAAGAACTTTCACTGATAGCATTTCTCAGATAGCATTCTCAAGATTTATAAAAAGGGGTGCCTGGGTGGCTCAGTTGGTTAAGCGACTGCCTTCGGCTCAGGTCATGATCCTCGAGTCCCAGGATCGAG